TTCCTGCGGCTGTGTAGTGTCTGTAAGAGAGTTAGGATAAAGTTGGGGAGAATGGAAGATTTATTCCTTACATCTCACTCACATAAAATGAAGCCACATTCCCTCTTTGTGACAACAGGAGGTGAGCGGTCTTTTGCTTCTCAGATTTCTTTAATTAGTGCTCATTTAAAAATATACAGAAATTAAAAAGTTTATGTAGAAAATACTCAAAAGTTAGAAAATAATCCCATGAGAGTTGGTCACAACCTATCAGGTTTTTTTGAATTTTTTCAATATTGTCAGTTTTCCAACCTAAAAAACTTTAACTTCATTTTTTGCCCAGTACCTTTGACCATTAAAATAGGCTTTAGTGACAGTCACTGTCTGTTCAGACTTAGATTAAATCAGGCTCTTTTAACATAGATTGCCTTCACAAGGTTCACATAGATAGTCACAGACTTGCGTAAGTAGAAGTTAGGCGTTGGTTTCTTGTTTCCCTAAAATCAAAACTATTATTTACCTGGCAGAAACCAGATAGGATTGAAATCTTCTGTTTGTGAAACTCTAGCAGAGCTCCCCTTAAGAATGCTTTTTACATCTTATTTTTACTCCTTTTCCTGTTGGGTTTCAACATGCTTTTTAAGCTCATAAAACTATATCATCATATATAAAATTACTGGCGGCACAAGTACCTCTCATCAGACTTGTAAAAACACTGCTAGGTTCATATTATTATTGAATTTAATTTTGCACCGCATTACAACCACTATCACCCCTAGTTCTGACAAATCATACAAGCACCCTAATTTCCTAAAAATAATCTATCTTGATTTTCCTTTTTAAGGCATAAGAATGGCCACTGTTACTTTTTTGGATAGTGAGGTATTGTCTACTAAACCACAAACAAAAAGTACATTTAGTTCGGTTCAAGTAGGCTTCAGAGGCCTGGATAGCCCTTGCTTGAACTTTGCGATCTTAAAACACTTTGAGAGATCTGCAAGACTATGGGAAGCATTTTAAGAGGATTTTTCTTCATGGTAGTAGCTGAATGAGTTAGCTGGACTGTCTGTTAATGTTCAGTAGATAATCTAGAGCTAAGTTCATGAGATGCTAATAATTACGGTAAATACACAATCACGCATTTTTGCATCCTCTTTTCCAAGCTGTGCAGTCTGAGACCTTACAAACCTCAGCTCCTTCTGCTCCAAGGGCTCTTGAGAAGCAAAACAATATCTGTACTCCTGTTTTATGAATACAGAAACAATAAAATGAATAGCGTCTGGTCAGACATTGAATTGATGGAAGGGAGACATCCATGCCACAGAGTGTTGAGTCATTTGAGGTAAATGAGTTGGCGTTAATGAGAAATCTCAGGACCTGACAACAGGCCAGCCACGACAGCCTGGACCACAGAATAGGCAAATTTTCCCCAGATAATGGGAAGATCCTGCTAAAGACAGTTTTATGACACACGGACTCTGGTTTGTCTTTTGGGCCTGGAAAGATGTGGGAGTCCTATACAAAAATGATGGCACCTGATAGTTTCAGTGAAAACTGTAGGATGATTCATGCAGCAAAGCAGCAGGAGCAGGACCGACCACTTGGCATTTCCTGATTTTTAGGGTTGCACTTGCTGATGTCTAAGCAAGTCCATTCTTGGACGTGCACAGTGATAGCGTGAGGGGCAATGGGTGCGAGTTGAAGCATGGTGAATTCTGATTTGACATAATGGAAAATGTTTTCAGCACGAGGGTGGTTGGACACTGGAACAAGGTGTCTGGTGACTCTGGTATGGAGTTTCCGTCTGTGGAGATGGTGTGAACTTGACCAGACACATCCCTGGGCCAGCTTTGAGTAGAAGGTTGGACTAGATGACCTCTACACATCCCTTCAAGACTAAATTGTTTTGTGTAGTTACCAAATCTCGGTGCTATTTAAAAGCAAATTTAAACAAGTTCAGTTGCACACAGCTGAGATGCACTCCGTGTTACAAGTTAGTAATTTTAATTTCTGTTTCTGATCAAAGTTGCTACATATGCTTTTTATTACACAAAATTACACGTAGTCTGAAGAATTCAGGCTTTGCAAAGAGTTTTGGATTTGCATCTTCATTTGTTTGATTTCTCAGAAACATTATCTAAACCAGAAGTAGTTACAATGCATAGTAAATTGAACGCAAAAATAGGAACAACTTTATCATTTCCACTGCCTCTGCAAAAAAATTTGATGTTGATTTTAAGTGGACTGATTGAGAGAAAGAAATAAAGCCTGGGGAGATTTTTGTCATAAACAGCATGCCATACTTAGAAAATTAATGTTCAACTGTATGCAAATCAGTACATTATTTCTTTACATAAATACAAAAAGGAATCAGGTTGTCAAAATATCACAGAAAAATATTTCTCCGTATTTTTTTCTTTTTTCATACAACTTATAAGTATTTTAAAGACTTGTGAGTTTATCGAGAAGCTTTTAAAGACCATAGAAAATGCCTTGTGGCTGCACTAGTCTTAAGTTGCATGAAGGTGTGCTATGCCATATTGTCTGTTTGGTGGTTTTCTATAGGTCTGTGGTAACAGGATGCAGACAACAGGTTTCACCTGATCGGCTGTGATTTTTCTTCCCCTTTAGCAGCAAAACTGAAACATCGGTTGTATATGTCACAGGAAAAGCTGCTGCCTGAGACCGGCAGATCAGTCAGTGCCTCCCTTTCTACCCTGCCCATCAAAATATCTCTCTGGCCAGAACCTTCCTCCACTGTTGAAAAGGCAACATTTTATGCATAATGGTGCAAAACGTATAGCAGGGGAGTGAAAAAGGACATGTGAGGCTGGTAAATTTTAAATTTTGTGTGGGAAACTGGCCAGAAGCCTAAAATCATAGGCAGTATGAGTGTGGTGTGTGTTTCCTGCTGGAATTTTGAATTGGAAATGCAGTTATGCTGGGAGGTGGAGGTGGAGGTGGCAGCACAAAGCTTGGGGCCACCCAGAGCTGATGGGGTGAATCCTGGAGGGCACCAACCCAAACACGTGCGGTTTGCTGTCAATATACTCTGGGGTGAGCGGACTGCAGTTTCTTCCTAGCATGCACAGGACTTTTCAGTTCTACTGATTGTTTGTGTGAGAGAGATGAACAGATCGTCCTGTCAGTACACGATCAGAAGATGGTATACGGATAATATTGAAACACTTGAAACAATACAGTATGAATGCAAAACAAATTAAAATGGATATAGTTGCAAAATCATTTTCATCAGTGTAGCGCTTAAATCAACTCCTTCAATGAAAGCAGTGTATGTAAATATTTTTAATACTGTTTTGACTCTGAAGGACTCCAAGTGAATTTTTTAAAAACTCAGGTAAAGTTCAGTGTAATTTTTATAAAATTTCAAAACAACATGATGCCTCAGTTTACTACATATAATTGAAACTGAAATTATTATTTACAGTCTTTTGAGAGCTGAAGAACTTTTTTTCTAATTTTATTTTTTTACAATAGCCACCTGCAGCACTGGCAAAGGAACTGATAACATAAATTTAATTGTGGATTTGGGTTTTTTTGATACTGTGATTGGAAAGGCGGGCTCTTA